GTTACTCTTACTGACCATGGACAAGTAAGTTACTCTTACTGACCATGGACAAATAGGTTACTCTTACTGACCATGGACAAGTAGGTTACTCTTACTGACCATGGACAAATAGGCTACTCTTACTGACCATGGACAAATAGGTTACTCTTACTGACCATGAACAAATAGGTTACTCTTACTGACCATGGACAAATAGGCTACTATTACTGACCATGGACAAATAGGTTGCTGTTACTGAGGGCTTATCAGGTTTCGATATCCGTTGTGGGCACCTACATAGATAGCCCATTGAGTAGATTTGTACTTAACAACAAACACGAACATAATATAAACAGAGGAGTAAAAATGGATCTTTGTTAGTTGATTATTGTTACGTTGTTGATTCTTGTCGATATATTTGGTCCCGAAGAAGATCGCATGCGTTTTATCACTTTTTTCTTCTTGTATAGGCCGTTCTCATAATAGTAGCTACAGCTTCTGGAGACTTGGTGATGTGGCTTCCGAAGGCTTCAAGACGTTTATAGATGACGGAAGGTCGGATATTTTGGACCGGTCTTTCCAAGGTGTAGGAGGAATTTATGACGTGTTCTCAGCTCCGCCAATAGATGGCGGTGTTGGTCGTACCCAAGCCGAGTTCTTCGTTGATAGTAATCATTCAAAGGTGAGACAAAATCCTATATATTAATGCTTGACACGTGTTAGTATCCGTGACTTTAGACAAATCCTTAGACTTTCGTATGATTTAACGAAGTAGGTTATAAAACTAGCTTGCTGGTTCGCCAGTTCTGCGGAGTGATAATACAGTTATTTCAAGAACATTAAGATAACGGGGAACTGAAGTTAAAAATAAACTACCAACGTTATGTTACTTATTCTTGTAGTGACTTTGATTTGTAAATTACTAAAATCTAATCTACTAATGTCTCTAACGTATCCCATGACGAGCCATGGTATTGAGCGAAAGACCTCGTCGGTAATGGATATGGCAAATATAGTGTGGTTGACATATATTATTATTCATTATCATTGCTAAATTCCCCCATTACGATGGTAGGGTGGGTGGGTGTTTGAACTGAGGGGGATCATTCCCCCTTGGTTGACAAGAAGGGGAAATTTTCGTTTAACTGTTTGTTTCGTGTAATGAATTTTCACGTAAGTAGTGACAGGGTTAAATCAGTAATTAAAGTTCACATTAAATGTGAGAGTTATTATTTACTATGTCGAGAATATATCAAGTAACCCTTTTCAAAACAACGTTTGTTTTTCTTTTCAAGTAGAGTAACTGAATCCATTCTTTTGTCAATTGTATAATAACACATCGAATGTTATTGCTTATCTAAGGTTTCCCTGGCTTCTCGGATCATACCGAGCCCTGATTGGTTCGTCGGTGTGAGCAGTTTTGATACGTGTGTAAATGGTAAATGGTTAGATAGAATTAAATTAGATGTGGGCCCTCTAGACGCTGGTACTGATAACGGTTTTACATTCACCGCTCCAAGATGGGAGACAGAGCCGAGAATTAAAATCTCGCGAATCACATCTCGCCATCCCAGCCATCCAGCCAGTTCTTTCTACTACCCTCTTCTTGAAAAGCTTCCCAGAATAGCCGTCTTCGAGTTTACCAAAACCAAAACCTATGAACTGAACGAGATATTTTCTCGCGGGAAAAAACACGCCGTTGACGACAAAGAATCAAAAGGAGAAAACACTGTATTCCTGAAACAAGTGGATACCAACACAGTCAACTACGAGGGCACTTTCGAGGGTTTACGAATCAAAATCATCGGAGGTGATAAGCAAAAAGAAGAGGTGGAAAAATCGAGAAGGCTTCGAACTAGAAAACTGATAAAAGTATTGAAAGACAAGAGAGGACTTGAGACTCGTTCAAGATTTCGATGTAAGTAAAAAAACAATCGTATTGTATAAATGTTCCTTATTTATCGATAGGCAGGAGTAATGACGATGATTCATGTAGCTATAACTCTAGATCTATATATTTAAACAACTTTCTGTCAGATTTAAAACACAATTTCGAACATTAGAGTTTGTTTGTTTGTAATTAAGCATAAAGCTACACCATGGGCTATCTGTGCACGAGTATCGAAACACGGATTCTAGCGTTGTAAGTCCGCAGACAAATCGCTGTGCCACTTGGGGGGGGGGGCAACATTTGAGAGTAACGCTTTCAAAAAAACCAAAACTATCTTAACAATCAAATCAGTGAATTAGACTTCGTTATAAATAGATCATTTCTGGTGATCACTTAGATCCTTATAGTAAACTTGGTTATCTTAGACTATTTTACAAAATTGGCCCAATTCTCATCAAAACTGGCACGTACCCTTAGAGTAACATTCAGTACGTCAGTTAGAAAATTAGACTTAAAATAAGACCCCCCAAAAAACTGGAGCGCTTTCGAATAGTTGACTATTCTTCTTCAGGAGAACAAAGAAGAACACCCAGGTTTTGGGTCTTGTTTTAAGTCTATTACACTTTATATGTGGTCCTTTGTGCTAACCCGTGGTCCTTTGTGCTAACCCTTTTATCAGTTAGAAAATTGATATGCTTTCTTTTCAATTTCTCGCAAAGCTACACGAGGGCTATTAGCGCTAGCCGTCCCTAATTTAGCAGTGAAAGACTAGAGGGAAGGCAGCTAGTCATCACCACCCACCGCCAACTCTTGGCTTTACTCTTTTACCAACGAATAGTGGGATTGACCTTCACATTATAACGCCCCCATGGCTGAAAGTGCGAGTGTGTTCGGTGATGGGGATTCGAACCCGCGACCCTCAGATTGCGAGCCGAGCGCCCCCTAATCACAGTTAGAAAATACATAATTCCCGAGGAACAGTCGGATTCTTCGTATACTTGATTATAAATAAATCTTATTATGATTTATAAACTCTCTCAGTTAACATTTATATTCAGCTGACCACACACCGAGTGAAGTTGTGAAGATCTAAATAAGAACGCGTTATCGGAGTTTTACCGAATCTCTAAACGACTCCTATTTCGTGCCTTAAAACGAGAAGATAACCCATTGGTGACCTCTGACCTCGCAGATCGTTCTATCCTTATTTGCAGAATTTAACTGTTTTACGATGTAGCTACAGAATTTGAGATCCTTGGTAAACATTCTCTTGTTTTCGGACATCTCGTTGAAATAAACATATCTTTGTTTTTTCAGCCCAGCTTCGCCCGTGTCGGGTCAGCAACTGGTCTGACTGGTCATCCTGTAGCAATGGTTGTGGCTTTGGAAGGACCATTCGCACGAGGAAGGAGGTGAGTCGTGGAGGGTTACCTTGTCCAAGACTAGAAGAGTCACGATGGTGTCACGGGAGGAGAAGGTGTCAACAAAAGAAACGTTACTTCTTTTGGTAGAGAGAGAAACCAGATGTAGGCAGATTCAAACCCACCTCACACTGAAATAACCAACTTCTCAATAATCGGTATGACACGTCTAAAACATTGTTACCGGGTTGATTGGTTAATTAAATCCATTTGAGTTAATCCAACCCATTTCACACTCAAATAACCAACTTCTTAACAATCGGTTTGACACGTCTAAAACATTGTTACCGGGTTGATTGGTTAATTAAATCCATTTGAGTTAATCCAACCCATTTCACACTCAAATAACCAACTTCTTAACAATCATTTTAACCGGATATGAGATGCCAGAAATGATGTAAAATCGCCTCTAGATGAAGAGGTAGATTTGGAAATTTATCGTATTTCAACAATCTATAAAAGCTAATGCAGAATGCCATTTCTCGTGTCTAAGTCTGCCATATTTTAACTTGTTAACCGAGGTCTATACTTTGTATAGATGGTCGGTAGGGGTAAATGAAGGAAGAAAAATGCATAAACAAAGATAAGAATATGAATTCGTGTTAATTAAGAAACCCGACATAAAATATTTATCAAGAAAGTTTTGCATACAGATTAAGATATAGAGCTTTTAGATCTATGGAGAAACCCAATAGCTAGCTGAATATTGTCTATTCGTTTTAATGTTTTAAGGGTTTTTTTTTAAACGAGACCCAAAACTCGAGCCCTTTATGATTAAATCGTCTGTAATAAAATGTTGTTTTTCTATACTTTTGTCACTAGGGGGCGCGACGTTATGAAACACGAGTAAAATAGTAGGAGTTTACTTTTGTTACTAGGGGGCGCGACGTTATGAAACATGAGTAAAATAGTAGGAGTTTACTTTTGTCACTAGGGGCGCGACGTTATGAAACATGAGTAAAATAGTAAGAGTATACTTTTGTCACTAGGGGGCGCGACGTTATGAAACATAAGTAAAATAGTAGGAGATAAGGTCTAATGATAATTAAAAAGAACGGCAGAGAATGTGTAGTTATGGCAACCAAAATCATACGTCATGATATACTACTTTGTGGCCACAAGGAGGCGCCATAATTACTATTATATAGAAAAATAATGTATATAGAATGTTGCCAGAAGTGGACGTGGAAATTGTAATTTTGCAATTCTATTTCTAGTTTTTGAGTTTATATATAACTATATCTATATTTCTAGTTTTTGAGTTTATATATAACTATATCTATATTTCTAGTTTT